AGATGCGTTGGGTCAGAGCTAGAAACTGTCGAAATTGATTTAAGTTATGATTTTCTTCAATAAGCTTATTTCGATTGCTTGTATATGCAGTCGTGTTTTCTGTTCAATACTTATAATCATAGGTGAGCATATGACGAAAATCTACTAAACTTACGAAACTGATCTCCAGTGCTTTTTGGAAAGGTTCGCAGCCGACTGGGACTTGGCCGGCATACGTATGAACGTATCTAAAATGAAAAGCCTAGTGCTTTCTCGTTGAACCCGCTGCACTCTGCAAGTAAACGGAGAAATTTACGTTACCTCGGGGTCAATTTAGTAGAGATGGGAAATGGGAGAAAGAGATGAATCGGCGAACTGTAATGGCAGTGACATTCTGCGTGAATTTCCCTGAACAGTTGTGACTAAGGCAGAGCTAAGTAAAGACTAAGTTGTCTGTATTCAAGTCGATCTTCATATCTATAGTCATGAATCATGGGCCATGGCGGGTAAGCTTCGATTTTGGGTACAAGCGGCTGAAATCGGATTTCTGAGACGAATCACTGGGCTCACGCTTCTTGACGTAGTCGGGAGTTCAGATATTCGAAAGAACCGTGGTGTACAACCGTTGCATCTCCAGACTAAGAAGTAACAGGTGCGAATGGTTTGGGCACGTGTTGCGAATGACTCCAGAAAAGAAGGCGAAACCGCTACTAGTTGCCCAACCGACCGGTGAACACTCCGGGGACGGCCAAGAATAACCTGGGACAAATATCTTGAAGCACTTTGCTCCAGAGTCGAGTCGAGTTGCTTCTGCGAAGCTCAAACGATGGCACAGGATTAAGAACGTTGCAGACACTGTTTAACGCAATTTGAAAGAAAAAGCGGTCATCGCAATTGAGTGACTGACTGCTTCTTCATAACATTCAACCAATAGTTTCATTTATGTAAAATGTAAGTCACATGACGCATTTCAATTGATTTCGAATACATTTTTCGGTACACATGGCGCTCGTCGCATGCTAACCCCAGCGACATACCAGTTCGCAATTATCAATTAACGAGGATATTTCACTGATAGTGCAGTTATATGTAAGTTGTTTTCGTAGTAACTTATGAATACGTCAATATGCTGTTTAGAGACAGACTGTTATGATCTTTTGTGCAGATGTCACAGTCCAATATTACACCCTATGCGTCTGGACTACAGGTTTATTTATGAAGACAAGTACTGAATTCTGGGTCTAGGTAGGAATTTGCTCTTTCTGTCATTAATCTCGTATTCTCTCCGTTCTCTTGTATCTGCAAAAAGAGTCCTCCATGTATTCCGTCTTGCTCATATTTCGTCTTTTTATAAACCCCGCGCTCTGAAGCAGCAACATTGATCGCTGAAAATAATGATTGGCGCGGAGACCGACATACAGTCTGCATCCACACAAGTGCATGCAAAGCAATCATTTACTCCGAATCACGGCTTAATTTAACATATTTGCAAATTCGCTCAGAATAAATCATAACGCAGAAACTACGCCTAAGTTTCATAACTGTATGTTCTTAATTGTCAAACTACGAAGTGACGTAAAAGATAGTTGAACAAAAGGCAAATATTAAGTAAAGGAAAAACTTGCTTCCATATTAGGTTTCAAATTGCGCTAAAATGGTAAAGAATGTATTTGTTTAATTTCTGATCTGACAAAAATGTGTGGAAATCTAGCGCCGTGCAGGTGACTGTAATTTTACGATGAAACGATACGGATTATCTTCCGAAGACGTTTAGGTAGAACGAGGTACTGAACTGAAATTAAATTTCAGCAACCATCCTGCATTTCGCTATGGTAAACCACATGCAGCAAAGGAATTGGAACTGCGTTGGAATTAGGAGCCTTACTGTAACCGAGTTTGTGACTAGAGTTCAAAGGCACCATGGATGCAGTTGTGTCATATGGTATAATGGAAAATATACATTATCAGATAGAGCACATGGAAAAACAAATAATACAACGCGGCAAGGTACCGGAAGGTGGATGAAGCAACAGCGATACTCATGCTAAGTCAACCATGTCTCTTTCCATCTATCAGTTATGTTACTGGTTTTTTCCACGATTATGGCTTCCAATATCTTCCTTTTTCTCCAGTTTCCTTCTCTTCGAATTATCTTGCTGGACTGCCGCTGAATCAATGATTCTTCACGATGCTGTTCTCGATCAGAACTTTTATCGTCTACACTTATGCAAGCCACATGTCCAAGTATCCATTTTTTCAGGTTTCGTCCAG